AGCCATCTGTGCCCTCTCGAACCTGCCGGAAAACAATAACTTTGTGAGCCCCAGCACTCTGATAATCGTAGCAACCCCCTGTACTTCCACAAAATCCTCGCACAATTCAGCCCCTACGTGCTTGGTCATTCCTGCATTAAAATATCCTGCCCGTTTGGGTCCTCCTAGATCAAGCATTGTGAGCGTACAGGAAGAAGCACTGATTTTAAAAATGTAAGCTCACAAAGAACTATGCCTGGTTACGACGACCCAAAATGAGAAACACCTCTCCCTAGCCCCTGAACCCTCGATCAGTCGTCCAACCCTTCTGTCTAATCCTTTCCTTCGATCAATAAAGATTCACTACAGACCATAGAAATGGAAGGATCCACATTCCAACCCTACGCCCTAAAACCCCCAACTCCGCAACCACGCACGGTAGTATAAAACAAAATCTTGAACCCTAGTAGCTTGCATGTTCTTTTCCATTGCTGCATTCTCTACTCTACTAAGAACGAGCAAGCCCTAGACAAAACCTATGTAAGCCCAGTTTCCATTTCATCTTTCATGTTCTTGTATACGCCCGAAGCCCTAAACCACAAAGCCTAAGCTCGAAAATCCTGAACCCTATGCCCGAAACTCTACGCCCTAGACCCTAAGCCCTGGACTCAAAGCCCGAAAAAAAACCTCTCCCCCCCCATAAAAACCCAAATTTTCCATGAGCCCTAGACCCTAAGCCCTATGTATATCCCCCTATATGTACCCTATTATAACACACTAGTTTCCACTTTCTTGTCCATGATTCCTATATACCTACGCCCTATATAACGCCCCTACACCCTAAAGCCTAAACCCCAAACCCTAAGCCCTACAGCCTACACTCTACGTAAACCCTAAACCCTACACCCTAAACTCTAAACCCTAAACCCTAAACCCCATACCCCAAACCCTAAACCCAATCTTTCCATCTCAGTTTCCACTCAACACGCCCTGCAGAGGCCCCGAGGCAGCGGCGGGGCATGGCCGCCGGCGCCCAGCCGCAGGTCGAGGCCTGTGGCTTCGTGGTGCTTAAGGCTCTAGGGGTTTAGTGTTTAGGGGTTTAGGGTTTAGGGGTTTAGGGTTTAGGGTTAAGTGTAGGGTTTAGTGTTTAGGGGTGTGGAATATGGGGTTTAGGGTTGGGGGTTTAGGATTTGGGGGTTTAAGGTAAAAAAGTACAAGGATATACAACTCAAATAAGTATAATGGCTTAGAGGTGCGTGAGGTTCAGGTATAGGGTTTAGGTCCTGGCGTTTTGGGTGTGCTGCTTTGGGGCTGTATAACGATACACTACCCAAATAACAGAGAATGAAATAGAAAAGAAAATGAAAAATGAGACAGAAACCATCCCACATGCTAAAGTAAGTTGAACATGCTTAATATTTAGGTTCTAAGAATAAGGAGTCCAATCTTTATGGGGAATGTTAGCAGGGAGTGGAAACTGGAAGCCACGCTAGGGCTTGAGTTTGGGGAGTGGGGGGGGGTCGGTTGGTTAGGGACTGGAAAACTGACCATTATATGTAATTATATAGGGATCATTATAAGGGCCCTCTCCCCCCCAACTGTAGGCACTTCTCTTCTGTTGTCCCACTTGTCCCACGAAAAGAGAGAGTACCTATGGAGAAACGGACGGAAATTGCTGAATCTGAAATGGAAACAGTGCTCATGTAGGGGCTTATCGGGATTGTAATGCAGAGACCTAGCTCCTGAGAAGAGGCATTTTGAGGCATGTTATACTACAGAGAGATTGCTATGAGGGGAGATGTACTATGCGATGGTCATAGCGGGATTCTTATGGCGGAATACTACTCCAGTGCTTATCTAGGCCTTCCAGCCGTCTACATTCCCTCACCGCTCGTACCCAAACCAAAAACGAAGCAATGGAACTAGTCACTCACACTCTGGCTCCTAGAACCTGTACTGCTACGGTTCATGTCGTGGCCGATGGTAGCACAAGCAACTAGGCATCAGTACAAGAAGCAGGAAGTTGAAATGATTTTTGGGATGCTGGTTACACAGAATAAGTAGGGGAGGTAGAGTCAGCAGGTCGAGAACGGGCATACAACCATCAGCAGCAGTGGCCATCAGAGGAAATAGGACCCAGTGCGAAAACAAAGCCGAATACGAGATATCCCCAGCATCACGCCCCAGGATCTACAGCTTTAAGGCTACAACTTCGTTCTCTTTCTAGATTACTGCTCCATTAGTGGGGAATGCTCAAACACCAGCCATTCTTGCTGAAACACGACAGCCAAACCCCCTTAGTGCGCACTCCCAACGCCAACTCTGAGGACAAGCTCTCACCCCTTTGCCCCACATGCAGTTCTTGCAGAGTAGTGCTCAAGGTCAGGGTTCCGTAGCTCAATGGACCTCCAAACAAGCTTAGTTTTAAGCAGCTTTTCCTTATCATCGACGTTATGCCTTCAGCGCTTGCCTCTTGCACCACCCGAAGGCCAGTCCTAAGAGCTGCAGTATCTTGTACCTCATTCCTCCCTCTGCCATACTAGCCCGGCCTCTCAAACGCCTGAGTAAGGTCATCAAAAGTTGCAGGAGCCCTAGATGATTCGTAAGCAGATCCCGTGGCTGCCTCTCAGAAACCTTGCTGGCGTGTCTTCAATAAACCCCACATCTCCAAACAAAATATTTCGGGTATCCTGCTGAGGCATCCTATCTTAAAGAACTACCAGCCGATCTATTGCTAGCATCCCCTATAATACTCCACTACATAAACCCACTATACAACCCCCTTTGAGCGTTTAGGCCCTAAACCCTATATAACCCCCCCTTGAGGAGTTTAGACTTTAGCTCATCTAGTCAAGTTAATGGTCTGCGGCCATGGAACCCGCTTGGCGCCCGGGGCACGACAGCGCGAGACGCCGGTCTGCCCTTCGTGACAGGGGGGTTTGGGGTTTAGGATTTAGGGTTCAAGGTTCAGGGCTTAGAGGGTTTAGGGGGGTTTAGGTTTTAGGGTTTAGGGCTTATGGTTTAGAGGTTCGGGTTCCTGAGGTTAGGGGGGGAGTATTGACACTGAAACAACACAACACAAACGGACTTTCTTAGTTTATTGCAGAACGGGGCAAGCATTGTTTAAAAGCATCAAAGGCCTGCATCTATGTACGCGACAACCCTTAGATTTTCCAGTCAGAAACTGGGATGCGCATACCAACTGGTAAGCCCGAATAAAAGGCCTCCGCCTCCTCCATCTGACGCATGCCCCGACCTAGCGAAGACTGGTCATTTGAAATGAATGATGTCGGGCTGAGGGTTGAGGACTGAGGACTTATGATTTAGGGTCTGGGGCTTGGGGTTAGGGGGTGAAGGTCCAGGGTCTAGCTTATGGTCTGGGGCTTAGGATCTTGGATCGGCTCTCCCCTACTAGGGGAATCGCTTCAAAGCAAGGGTACGCTTAGGGCCTCTAGGATACATTTAAAAAAGGATTTGGGTCCCTCCAAAACCCCCTTGAAAACCACATGCTTTGAATGGCTACTCTGCCATTACATACTCGGGGAATACTTTTATCAGGTCTGCGGCCTGGGTTCATCTTTGAGATGGCGTGGATTAAAACACCCTCCTACCTCCAACATCTCAGCCTGTTGGGGCTACTGTAGAGAATATCTGACATAAGGAATTTCCCCCGTGAGTCGCAAGATCTGAGCTTCAGGCTTTCGCAGATTCCGTACTCCCAAACGACCCAAACCCTAAACCCTTTAAACCCTAAACCCATGAAAGACAGAGGAAGAGGAAGCAAGTGCCCCCTGCCGCGCCTTTGCGAGGAGCCAGCACGTAAGTGACTGGGTTTCAGGTTCGAAGCCAAACGGCAACAAGGCTTGGGGTTTGGGGATTGGGGTTCAGGGTTTAGGGTTTAGATTTCAGGGTTTAGGGGCTTAGGGATGTATAGTACAGACCCTCTGTATGTATCTACATATCTGCATGTCGGAGAATAGCCTCATAAAGGGATTATGGGAAATGCCCTTGATGGGGGATGTCCTTCTTTCCAGAGACTTCCATGTGGGGTTGTAAGACGCGCTCTGTCGAATTCGTACCCTACAGATTCTGCGCAGCCCTAAACCCTGCATAGTAGCTTCCATTTTCTTGTCCATGATCCCTATACAACCCCAATATAACCCGATATAATCCCTATAGTTTCCATTTTCTTTTCCATCATGCCTATATAACTCCTACCCTTTCAGGATAAATCCCAGAGACTCTGGATCCCGAGGCCTTATGTTGAAAATCCAAGGCGGCCAATCTGATGGGTAACCCTAACCCCCCCAGCCACCACACCCCAAACATGCCCTAAAAACCTAAACCCTAAACCCTTAAGTTATATTTCCGTTCCGTTCTCCACGCGTCCTGAGGATTCGAAGAGTGCTATGAGACACCCCACGCGGGTATCCGCTGAAAATATGGGTCTATATTGGGGTCCCCCCATTTGGGGAAACTACGGATTCCGTTCTGGCATATGACGGTCTGCCCTTTAGTCCCGGGAGCTCTGCCCATTAGTATTTTGGGTTCAGAGTTTAAAGCCTTAAGGTCTGGCAAGCTCCACCGCAAAGTGCTCTTTTGACCTTTGACTTCTTCTGGCCATGACATCTGTGTGCTGGAACATTCTCAGATGGGATGCTGGATTAAAACCGATAGAAGCTGTTGAAACAGCCTCTGTGAGCGCGCCAACTCTAATTGCATGGGTAGAACTACGAAGGGCTCAAAAGATAGCGGCCAATAGCCTTAAACACTGTGAACAGTACCTAAAACCCACACCTCTAGTAGCCCTATGCCACGAACAATACAACAAGTCTGCGGCAGGTACAGCAAAATCCAGTACATGGCCTCTTCTGTCAGATGTTGCCCTTGGTCATACTTGATTTGCTGGCGCAGGCAGGGAAACATGAATGCCCTCCTTGTTGCACCGGGCAGGACCGGAAAAAACAGGGAGGAAGTCCCGGTCGCGCCAGTTTTAAAAGACTTAGCCAGCTTGTCGGAGCTCATTTCACGTTCTGGCTCAACCAGTCCAGAGTCACAGACTTCGGCCTACCAGGCTTGCACGTGGTACTATTCATAAATACGCTTGTAGTGACTTTGCAGGGAAAAGCTCAGGGTGTCTTCTACAAACGGAGAATGATGCTTCTCCACCGCTCTTGATGTTTGGTCACACCGGGCTTACCTTAGGTTTTGTTTACGCGCACTTTGGGCCATGATGCCAATGTCGAGTGGATTGGGTAGATAGTCTGCTCTGGAAGCGTGGGATTTCAAAACCTAGGACCTAGGGGTCCATCCTATATATCCCAAATTACCATAATCCTTGTCATGTGGACTCCTAGAAAGAGACCCCTAGTTGTCAAAATCCTCCACATCGCTTTGGGGTTGAGTATCTTGTGGCTTCAAGTTGCTCGTGCCTGCGCTATCCAAACTGTCGGGATACTTTTCAAAATAAGAATCAATTGGACCATAATATGAGTAGGGTTTCCTGGCTAACATGCTGCTAGATCCTTCAAGGCTTCTACGTGCTGAGAGTCTACCGCAGCATCAACGCTCAAGGCTGACTATGCCTCTACAGGCAGCACCCGCAAACACCAGCGAAAGAACTCCACAAAGATTTGCCCACGCCCAAGATGGTACCCCATAAGTTTGAGAAACCCCCCGCTAGGCTGGGCAGACCCAATAGGAAACCCTAGCACTGTCACCCTGGAGGGCTGTCGAAGCCTCTCGATGGGAAGTCCCATCAGTCTGGACCTGAGTCCACAACAAATCGCTGCTTCTCATGTACCCGTGATACAGGCCTTCTCCCTCCACCTACAGCTTCATAATGCCCTTTCACTTCGTAGCAGCGACGCTCCCCACATGACTGTCTTAGACACAAAATGCCTCCTTCCTGTCAGTCCGGCAAAAGTGCCAAAATCCAAAGTTATTGCTACGGGTGGGAGTTATGCTAACTTTGCTACAAGGACATGAACGCAAGGATTACTTATATTCAAAAACGATTGTTGGTGTTGCCAGATCATGCGTTGCTCGTATTGCCACGTGACCTTCCTCAACCTTGGACGACACGAGATGCCACCAAAAGAGTGGATGCTTATCGCAAGAAGCTCCAAAGGGAAGCCATTGTTTTCAGAACCCTCACTTGGGGATTCTTGGCTCTGCCCTCACGTAAGCACGTTTGGCAACTCCAGGGGCGCGCGGGGATGACTCATGGGGATATCAATGGTTCTGCGAGACGATAGGGACGATAGGGGTCCCTAAGCAACAAACAGGGGTCATTTCCAGCCTAGGTAGGCATATTCCGAGACACTAATGTCATGACTCGCCCTGCAAACCGTGCATTCTCCAGTTTCTTGTCCGTTAGGTTCTGCAGGCTAATACCCTGGTATTCCCTGCAGCCCTGCAGCCCCCTAGAATAAATGGTACTAGAACCGAATCATTGCCACCTACCAGGACTGGGCAAATGGCCAGACCAGGTTGGAGGTGCAGCCCAGAGAGCGGGACACGGCAAAGACCACCTTAGAGTACTGCTGCTGCTACCACTACTAATAGTGCTATCATTACAAGCATGGATTGCTGTGCTACTGCCAATACAAGTCTATTTGCGGCCCTCAAAGTCTGCGCATGGAATTCCGGTGGAACCTAATTCCTTGGGATTTTGCTAGCCATGGACCTTGCAACTGAACGGCACGGTTTCTAGTTCAGACTCTCGACTTCACAGCCTAAGATCTAGAGACTTGGCTTCTAACCTGCGATTGCAACCCTGGCCCCAGTGGGACAGATCAAGTCGATCGGCACAACTCAAATACGGGATGATAATACTAGTAGTAATAGTACTAATAATAGCAAGAGTAATAAGAAAAATGGCAATAATAATAATAGTAATAGCTATAGCTATAATTATAATGATACTGATAATAAAGGGTCTTGGGGAATGCCTCATGCCGGGTTAGGGCACCCGGGGGACAAGGAGCACAACAGGGATCTTGGAGGGGACCTATTACGGATCTATGAAGGGAAACTTCGAGACAATTCCTGTTGACTTCCATGCATCAAAACAGATCGCTTGTGGACACTTATGGAACCCTAAACCCGAAACCTTAAACCCTTAGACCCTTAAACCCAACCCTAAACCCTGTTTGGCAAGCTCCAGGGTTGCTGGCTCTTGAAGCGTGACAACATGGCCCGACTTAAACGGTCAGCGTTCCTGAAGCTTCAGGTGAGTGCTGACACTCATCTACCCAAAGCGAGCGACACCGCATGGATTACAACCCTGAAGAGCCAACAACTAGCAACACGTGGACGACACATTCTAATCATTGCTCTCCTTACCCCAAATGTATGCAATCTTGTGCTTTTGCTGTCATCACAACTATGATGATTGCGCTTGCTCTCACCTGATCATGCCTTCAGAAGGAATGTTGAACCAACATGGCCCTATTGGTCCACCCAGATTCGGGGGCTTCACTGAAATTAGGGTACTTTTTAAGGAGTCCCTATAATAAGGACTATAATATACTATATTGGTGTACCCTTATTTAGGGAAACTACCTTTTTATGTAAACCGGAAAACTAAAGCCTGCCAGCGGGGTGCCTATCAACCCAATGGTGGTTCTGGGGACCCAGCTGTATAGTAGTCCTCCTGGTTGAGACCGAAGTACTGCCTGCGCTTCTTTAGTGGGTTTGGGGTTTAGATTTTGGGGTTGAGGGTTCTTCAGAATTGGGAGTTTGGCGGTTTACGTTTCCAGGTGTTGGGGCCCTGGGTTTTCAAGGCATGCGGTCTTGCGCGAGGCTGGCTGTCTTGCGCGAGGCTGCGGTGCTGTATTGGCCACGGTTGAAACCAAGGAGCACATACTTCACAATCATTCCGGAACCGCCACCGAAGGGCTCTTAACTAGCTCGCTCTAGTCGAAATAGTGGCACTTGTAGTGATAGTAGAGTAGTAGTCGTCGTCGTTGTCGACAGCGTCGTCCTCGTAACAGCAGCACAGTACTGGTGGTGGTGGTGGTGGTGCAAGAAGCAGAAGAAATCGAAGTCGAAGAAGTTGTCTGTAGTAGACATAGCAGCCTTTACCGATCCACAAAACTGGAGGGTGGTGTGCTAGAGAAGGCAAGTTCTACAAATTTCAAGGAACTTAAATGTTGCTGTCTCCCCATTCCCTTCTCCATACCCTCCCCAAGCCTGCCACCACCGCCACCACCTCCTCCTGACTACTGCTTCTTAATATGACTGCTGTTACTCCCCTTAATCATTGATCATGGGTAACTTCATTGGCAGTATCACCCGACACCAAATCCCCGGCGTAAGGGTCTTTGACAGAAGCACCTCTGTAGAGATTCCCAAGGAGGTGGCTCTGAGATCCAAACATGCAGGTGCCCGACAGCGCATCCACGTTGGGCCACGGGTTCCTGAGGTGAGAGCCCTCTTACCCTAAATGAGCTATAGTCTAANNTCCTAGTGTCCCCTTAATAACCCCTATAGTAGTCCCTTATATGATCCCCTATATAACACCCCTTTAAGGAGTTTAGACTGTAGCTCAAATGCTCTAGAGGCCCAAGTTGTAGAGTCTGTTTAAGAATCTTTGGCTGCACCTGGAGCTACTTCCTAAACCCAGAACCTAAGAGTTGAAGCCCTAAACCCTAAACCTTCAGCCTCAGGGTTGAGGGTTCTGGGCCCACGTCGGGCTTTGGGCCGCTGCAGAGCGGAGTCTTCTTGGATGACGACCACTTGTACTAAGAATACACAGAGCAAGTAGTAAAATCACAATGTTTCTGAGAACTGGCAGTCTCATTGCGAATTAAATGAAGTCGTATAATTTGTGGTCACTCAATCTCTTTTCCTCTCTCAGCGCTCCTTATGAGCAACCCAGACTGGCACAGTGGGCTGCACAAAACTTAGCAACGATCATAGCAGGGATGGAGCTCATTTCTCCGCAAGCCCAAAGACAAAGTGCGCTTATGGCAGCATTCTTTTGGTTCTAGAATGTACTTAAGCTATGCACATATCACATTGGACGTCAAAGCCCAGGCGGACATGCTTCCAGGGAACCGTCGGCTTAACCGATAAGAGCGCCCTCCGCCAACATCAAAATTCCCAAGAAAACAGGACCTTGTCAGATACTGCTAAAGCCAGTTTTGCACCAAGATGCTTCACCTTGCCTGTCGCCTCCAGCACAGGCGGGATTGCCTGCAAGACTCGTACAGATTTCGAAAGCAGTGGAACTCACAATCAAGAATCCTCTTTTGAGTATCCGGTATTCAGCAGACAGGCCCGAGTGTTTGCGAGGTTGAAAAGGGGAGTCTGATCATAAAGCCCCCTTGCAAACCATGAATGATTCCAAACAACAAGGGATCCCTCGATTAAGTTTGGGAAAAGTCAAACAAAAGGCAGGACTCTTGGTTGCAGAGCATGACATTGTTGCGTGTCTGCGTTGTAATTATTTATTCCATGCGGGACCAAAGCTGACTTTATTCTTACCGTTCCGTATCCTTTTTGTTATTCCATTGGGCCGAAATTTCGCTCTATTCCAACCCCCTTCTGTAAACACTCTCCACCCATTCTGCAGCAGAATGCATGCTTTGCACACAGCAATAATGAGCCAATGGTTTCAAAAAGAGCTTTTGGAAGCAGCTCTCTTTCGGGGCGATGCAATCCGCAATTCGTGAGGATTGATCTCACGGATCACGGAATTCATGCTTAGTGCGCACGGGCATGTAAAAAAAAAAGGTTTTTTGGGTGGCAAGCGTTGGCCTTATAAGCAATGCATAGCCCTTATATGCCTTCTCTGCTTTCAAGCCTACGCCTTATGCAAGGGTACCCACTTGAAAAATCCCTGAACAACAAGACACGTTCTGCCGGACATGGCCTGGAAGCAGACTTCTGCCAGCTTTGCCAGGGGATCATCAGGGAAGTTCTCCTGTCAATGCAGAGACTCGAGATGTGAAGCATTGGTATTTCCAAGCGGCACTGCTTGTTCTATCTCTGGATAGTACAAGTAACTTGTAGGAGCAGTAGCAAGGTATTGCTCGCAGCACAGATGCATTCAAAGTACACCCTTGGCGTGTGCCTCTCTCTCCATTCATTATCTGGGTATCCCATTTTATCTAAACGGGTTATCTGGGTATCCCAACCCTTAACTCCAAACCTATAACACCAAACCCTATGAAACTGCCTACCTTTGCCTCCCTATCTCTCTCCGGCTCTCCGCTGGCCAGCCTGAACAAACTGACGCTGGATCGTGTATCGCCTGCAGCCATCAGCTTTGGGTTGTTGCTTTTAGGCTTTAAGGTTTAGGGGTTTAGGGTTTAGGGGTTTAGGGTGTAGGGGTTTAGGGTGTAGCGTTTGGGGTGTTTGTGTGTAGGGCTTAAGGCTTGGGAACTCCTGGGGTCACATTGCCCCCCCGACCCCCCAAGACTGGTGCGATGTGGAAAATGGAGGACCCTAAACCCTTAACGCACGGGTCGTCACTTTGTAGGTTGGGGAGTCGCTGCATCCAGAGGTATCAACTACCCTAGCAACCACAAAGCTCGCCATGCGACAGCAAGGGTGACGGGGGGATGGCCAAAAGTGAAACCCGTTGTTAGGAGGAGTTTCCATTTCATTTTCCATTATCCTAAAATAACCCGAATATAACCCCAACATAACCCCCAATATAACCTCGAAAATAACCCCAGTATAAGCCCCAATATAACCCCAATAAAACCTGAATATAACCCCAATACAACCCTAATACAAAGGGACCGGCTTTCTGCGTTGGCAAGGACTCTTACTTTGTTGCAGCTCGGAAACTCAGCCTGTCTCGTTTCCAAAAATTCACCAGCTTTTCAAAAAAAACTCCAGATGAAATGGTAGTTTCCATAAACAGTGGGACCCCAACATAGAGCCTCAAATACTAGAATTCTGCTTATAGGGACCCCCCAAGAAGGGTATTGTGACTTTGGGGAAATCCCCGAATCCAGTTCCCAAAGCTTACAGAAGCTGGCAGCAGGAGCATCCCCGAAAACTTGTCCAAACCCCTTAGCCTCTTAGCTGCCCTTCTTTTTGGGCTCCTTAAAGGGGCTCCTTACATGGAAGACCCATAATCAAGAGGCTTACATAACTTCTTGATGTCAGCATATATTAGGGGATTTCCCACAGTTAGGGGATTTCCCAACATTAGGGGAACCTTTTTCGATTATGTTTTATTTGGGGGTAGGAGTAGGGGCTGTCAGCCTCAGAGCGGGCATGCCACATATTACCCTTCTGTCATCCCAGTCACCATCTCATGCTCCGGTTGAGGGTTTGGGGTTCCATCTAGTTAGGGGCCTACGCTGTAGGCCTTAGCCTAGACTACATCCCATACCCTCGACCCCAAGCCCCGCATCCTTGCAATAAAACACCCAGCCACTGAAACAGTTCTTGTAACATCTTCTCATGTACATAATGATGTCACTAAGACTGAGGACCCAGACTACGGGACGATAGTTTCACCAGTGGTTGGGGTTTCTCAAAATCAGGGGTACCCTAAAAGACCCTAGGAAAAAGAAGATTCTGGGGCCACTAATTATTGGGGGGGCTGATGTAGGGCATCATTTTCATCAACAGGCGTCCCCAACTAGACTCCAACACACTAATCCTTGTCATTAGTACCCCTTATTCTTTAAAACCCTAAACCCTGAACCTGAATATACCTACATGGCCCCTACGCGGACCCCCCGGGCAAGCTAAACCCCAAAGCCTAAACAGTAGTTTCAATTTTCTTTTCGATTACCCCCTAATTCCCACTATATAACCCCAAATAGTACCCCTTATGGCTTAAAACCCTAAACCCTAAACCCCCCCAAATATCCCGCTTGAAGAGGCCCCATCTGGGCAGCGCACGGATCGGTGTTGCGTAGCACACCATGGCCGAAGCCGGGAATCACCTTTCCGGACGCCAAGGTCTCCTCCAAAGGGTGTAGGGTTTAGGGTTT